CCTTTTCATTCAACTGTGGTGCGAAGCGATTTTCGCCGGCCGCCATTGTTTCTTGAGGGAAAATTTTTAGCTCCCTTTTAATTTTAAGCTGACGCGTACGCTTACCATATTTGTAGATTATGGTATATTGGCTGATATACCATAATGGCTAAGCCAATAAAAATTCTTGAATTGCATTATCCAATGATCTATTTTTCAATAAAATTTCGATAGGCTCCAGGTGCTTTCCTGGCTTTGATTTTTTCAGCTTGTCCATAACGGTAGTCCTATACATGTCCCCAACTGCTTGTATATTATTGATATCAAATAAATGAACCGTCTGGCCTCGTTGGCCAGTTGTTAGATGTAACAACATTGTCAATTTTAACGAAAGGCTCTTTAACGATAACTCCTGGGCCAACTTTATGGTCCTGAAGTAGTCCAAAACAATACTAACGTCCCAAATCTCGCTTTATCTAGGCAATGCAGGCCTAAGTTCATAAATCCCTTTTAAACAACGACAAACTAAGGGATGCTCCCCAAATTTACTCCCATCATCCATGATTATCACCGCTGAGAGTGCTGAGCGTGCCGAATTTACACCACTATAGCCAAGTCCTGAAGAGTATAGAGATACTAAAAATTCGATTGCCTGGGTAATGGTCGGATGACATCTGTTAATGCCATTATCCTTGCAATAGCAAGACCATTTAGAAGTACCAGGCCTCCATGATGCCATTACCACTCTTTGTGCACTAGAAGACAGCCCAATGTGATTTATTTTTTCCCTGATAATAGACATACCATCTGACTGAGTTTTTTCCACAGGGGATGTACTTCGGACATCTATGGCTTTTACAATACCTCGCCATGTTTTTTGTTTGTTTGTTTGTTTGTTTTCTTATTTATCGTGATACAAAACAAATAAAAATCAATAACAAGAAATGTATGGAAGCCTCTAGAGAGAAAAATTGTGAGAGAAAAAAGAACAATCTGCAAATTTCTTTGCCCGTTGAGCAAGGTCTCCTCTAAGACTTCATGCCAAAACATAAAGTTATTTTACATAGCTCAACGATGTTTGATTCAAAAGAGACAAAACAAAAAAAATACAATTAAAAACATACTTATAATTCATATACATGCATGAAACCAACACTTTCATACTTACACGGTATATTCTCCTCCGACATATAACTGAACCTTGTGGGAGTCACTAATAACGATTTCATTCGATTCGTTTTCCAGTGCATAACTGAACAAGTTCCCTTTACTTTGGAAGCAAAGTGTAAATTCCCTAAGCACTCTATCCATTTATTTGTTAAAAACCACGCCATTGCCGTTTCGAACAGGAAACTCCAGCGAGAAATCTTGAATAAAAGGAAAGAAAAAAAGAAAAGAGATTACGGTTCTCCGCGGGTTTATTAGTTGATATTCTGATATTATCCTGCCCGCCGAGCTAGTGTGCCTATATAGCGGTGTCCGAATTTGTTATGCAGAGACAGTTTAAAAATTTAGGTAAAACTCAGACGGAAGTGGGTAAAAAATGTCTAGGGTTAAATCAAAGGGAATATTTTTCTCTAATAATACTAATAATATTGCTAATAATATTACTCCCAAGGTACAAAGACTATATTGTAAACATTCCAATGAAATCCATTGTCAGGCCCAGCGTTAACAATGAACGTTTTAAACATAGCTTTTTTAATAGATTAATTTTTAACTATAGTCTAGTTGTGTAAACACCCCATATGTATTTCTAATCATTTTTAATCATTTTTATTCGATTTAATCATTGTAATTTTTCCCATCAATATATATTTTTACTGTAACATCAGATATGTAATTTTATCTGATGGTTTTTTAATAAAGACGAATTTATTTATTTATACTAATAATACAGGAGGAACTAACATGAAGGAAATACATTGCAAGCTGAAACACATAAGGGTGATTGAATATACGACGCCAGAAAGAGCCACAGCCGGTATCGGCTGTGACATTGTTGAATCCCCTAGTTCAGCGAGTTGCCTACTTGATTAAACCTCTTCTTTTAGTACTATCAACTGCAAAGCATAAATTCAGAAGTGTCGACGAATTCAATTTTCAGTAATAACAGTTGGTAAGGCTAAAAACCAAGTGGTAATAACGATAAAAATGATAGCGGAAATTTAAGAAATAAACAGTGGTTTAGCGTGGTCTGTGTTCTTATAGACAACGATATTCGTCATCACAGTGAACAAGGTGTTTTGGACTCACAAGGAGCTTCTTGCAATAGTATATGTGGTTAATTTTTTTCTTCTCAACTGATAGTCTAGTGGCAGTGGTAAAGCACGCTTACCTAACGAAACACTTTCTGTGTTAGGGCACCTCATTTGATCCTCCTGTATAATAATAATAACTTGTTTTTATAGAGCGCTCATATCCTGAGCTCATGTCGCATGTATTTGCATATAAATAAGCAGCGGAAGGAAAATAATTTCTTAAAGGAATTTAGGTCTTCTTCAAATGCTGCTTAAATGCGAGAACTAAATGTAGAAATTTCAATCACATAGGAACCAATTTCTTCTATGATTTTCTTTAGATAAAGCCAAGTTTCACAGCGCACTAAGAATATCATTATCATAATAAATCTTTAAAAAATATACTGTAAATTAGTCTGCAGATCGTGCATGGTAAAATAAGGATTTCTTTATCACTTTAATATTCAAAATTGTATAATATTTTGTGCACTTTTATTTTTCACACCTCCTCTTTGCCTCAGGACATATCAACAATCCAGCGACAGAAAAAAAATAATTATACAACCTCTACCTCAATAAATAGTTAATTAACGCGAGCGCCAAAGCGATGAAAAATGCTACCTTTTCGATATCTTCCTTTTTCGATATCTTCTTCTTTGTTAAATGAAAGATATCAAGACGTTTCTTTACCTCACCACATCTTATTTGTGAGAAGACGAATCCTTTCGCTAACATCAGATATTTGTCGTCGAGGTCATTTGATAACCCAGCAAAGTTTAACTCACAGCGTCCTTGAAGGTCTTTTTGGCACTTCTTGCAGTTGATTGAGAGGCAACGAGTATTCTTCGCGCAATAATGTCAGCATGCTATTTGACTGGCTGCAGGAAGACTTTTAAATCAAATACCCTTCCACCCTGACGTTTTTTCGTGTAAATGTTGATATAAGACTCCATCTTCCACCGTCATTACTTGCTCGGCTAGCTAATATAATTTGCAGTGGTAGCCACAACTTCAAATAAAATGGTGCCATAGCTAACTGACCTACATCGCTTGATAATGGGAGAAGTAATTGAGTGTTATAATGTTCGAAATGGAAACCCCAGCAGATTCGGATTTTGATTATTTACTTCTGATGGATCTTCACATGCATATACTCCTGCAGACTTTTTAATAATGAATGTAGTATTTTTAGTTTTTTCCCCGGTGAATGAAGTTTTAATGAATTACTATTGAGGCTTCTTATTGCTATCAAAATTCCTTTCATAAATTATTTTCCAATTTTCCCTCTTGAATTCACTCGATTTTACCTTTAAAGTAATTATTAATGCCACAAACAATTGCGCACCATGTTTGTAATATAAACCACGTCAAGTCAAAGAAAATATCCTTGAGAAGTTGAATAAAAGTTTATGACTCTTTCTAGATTTTTAAAAAACATATCGCTTAATATTCCCTGTACTTGACTGCCGAAGGGAAGTTTTTTCTGTCAAAATAAAATAAGTCTTTTTTGGTCTATCGAAACTCTATTACTTTAGCTAGACCTTTTTATTATCCTGTAAGCCTTTTCAAAAAATTGATACACCTCTCCAAAACCTACATCTTTCATTTGATAAGGATGTTTCATTCTTCCTTTTTTTATTTTCCTAAATTTTCTTACATCCATGTACTTGCATGAGCAATGTCTTTGTACACACCTCTACAACTTTCTTACAAGAAAAAACAAAATATTTCCTTTTTTTGCCTTTCCTCTAGACTGCATTTTATCCTTTTTTATCACTGTCGATTATAAATCTTAGGAATAAAGTATGTATGTTGAAAAGCGAATCAAAAATTAGATGAAAATTAAAAATGCAACTTTATCTTTGCTGCGACATATGTTATACTACGAAACAATTTCCGAATTCGGCGCTCATTCGATTAATCCGACTTAAAATAAAGTAACGCGATCGTTTCATTAAGTGTTCTTCAAATTTGAAACAAACTTCGAGTTCCATTTACAGTCTAAACAAATAAAAATACATACACATATATAACCTTCTGGCGTCAAATAAATGCATGTATGACGCAAACTATACTGTACAGGTGTAAAGATCTATGGTGAAATTTCGGTGAGATATTTTTTTCGGACGTGACTGAAACAGGTGCAATCTATGAAAGCCTTGCTTTTGTTTCGTGATCGCTCCTCTTTAGTTTTTTGAGCCGCAAAGTGTATTTGCTATATATAAGACATGCACCATTTACCAATTTTCGCTTTTTGTATATATGCGTCGGTAAAAAATCCAAAGTGTATAACGAAACATGTCGTGATTAAGTCTCTTCTATTTTGAGTTGTTTTAGCAATTTCATTCGTCAACATCGTTTAGATTTATAAATTCGTTTACTAGTATTTTTTAATTATTTAACGCGCTGAATTAGAGAGCAGACATCTAGGAAACAACACCTGCCTAAAATGGTTGCTAAACTAAAGACAACGCAGACTCTCCACAGAAGAGTAGCTTCCTGAGATGTGACTAGCCAAGAACAAAATTTTGGGCAACCCAGACCTTACTTTTTTCCTTATTTCTTTTCTTAACTAAGATAGTGTTATTAAGTGTGAGAATCAAAATTAACATTCCTCGCTGCAGTTTGTTCCGTATTAAGTGGAGGTGCTTTTGGTAATTTTATATGAGGCATTTATGGGCATCATGGTCCAGACGATCGGCGGCATCGAGAGAACTAAAATAAACACGCAATATGATAAAAACACAATATAAAAGGGTCAATAACTGGGTTATCAACTCACTCGGGTTGCAATCAACGAAACGATGAAGGCTCAAACTGTTATTTTTCTTGTCATTCTCCTTTTTATTGCAGATTGTGTCAACGAAACTGAGAGCATTGCCGTCAATTTTCCATCTTCGAATAATGGTCGGAGAAGGGCATCTACGGATAATGACCGGAGAAGCGGTGAGTTTAGTTGAATTTGAACGTGAACTAACAAAGCAAAATACACCGAGATGAAACACATTCTTCATGGTTGATAATTATCAACATAACTTTTTACCATCCTCAGTTTGTCAAATGGCAAGAGATTTTGGATGCGGAAAGCAGGACGAAAGCGTCCAACAAGACCTGAGCATGAAGCAAAATACTTACGATGGGAGTGACAAAGCTTTGTGATGATCATTGATAAAGACAAGTGGATTGAAAACCTCGCATATGAAATAAAATTAGATGTTACATTGAAGTCCCAGTTTGTTGTTTTTAACTTGCTTCTTACTTGCTTTTAACTTGTTTTTAACTTGTTTTTAACTTGTTTTTAACTTGTTTTTAACTTGTTGTTTTTAACTTGCAGTGGCTAGGGGAGACGAGCGAGCTCGATTTTCACAAGGCGCATATCCTTATTTCAAATTCCCGAATTCTCCAAGCATTGCTCCGTTTGTATGCTCAAAAAAAATTATGTGCATTTCTTTTAGTGTCAAGAGTGTCTGCAATCGAATTCTAACGATGCATAACCTACAAGGGAGTTATTAAAAAGGAATCCCACTCAATACAATTTGGCCAAGGTCACGTGACTGGTTTGTTTGTCAAATCATTTTTTTTTGAGCCTGCGATACTTTTTTTACGGCACAAAGCAAAGTAGTCTGTTTTCAACGCGGATCGTAAGCAAGTGTATCACAATCAGAAATTTTACATGTCAAGTAGAATTGGGCCAGTACCAACAGTGAACATTACAAATTAACAGACTACGATATTACTACTCTACCCCTAACCCCCCGCCCACACACAAACGCACACACACACGCACACACGCAGGCACACACGCACACACACATACACACGCACGCATACACATACACACACACGTACACACACACACACACACACACACGTACACACACCTTTGTTTTCTGCGTGCTTGCCTTTCTTTAGCTCTGTAAACTAGCGTGTATTGAAGTACGAGTATAGTATAAATGACTGTTTGATATGCTGAAAGCTGTGTTGTGGATATCCTGTTGCCGCAAATGCTTCAGAAAAATTAGCACACTAGCCAATTTTTTTCTGTTTGTTTGTTTGTTGGTCTTTTGTTTGTGCCTTTGTTTTTGTTTTGTTGTTTTCTTTCTCTTGTTGTTACAGTTTTTTTTTCCTATAACGTCAGTACAAACCTAAGGACGATTCGCAATAATTCCTGACCAGGAGCTCGGTCTTTTTTCCTTTTGAGTTGTTTTAATCATTTCAAATGTAATCATCGCTTAAATTTGCTGCAATGTGTTTGCTGGTGTGTGCTGGATTACGTAATGCAGTGAGAAAAAGAGGCAGATACCCAGGAAACATAACCTATGCCAAAGATAAATTTGTAGTGCGGAGTCTTCGTATAGCAGTAGCTGCGTTAGAGGTGACTGGGCATACTAACTTTGGAGCAGCTTTTATTAATTGAGATAGAACAGTTAAGTGTGTAAAATGCAACCATAGAATTTATTAAGGCAGGTCTTATGCAACCATAGAATTTTTTAATGTAAGTCTTAAGTTGTTTGGTAAAAATTTTACTTAATCGGTCTTTAGTGTTGTCTGCTCAAAACATCATTGATGTTGTAATTTGCAACTCCAGCAGGATAACCATTCTGTAGCAACAACTTCCGGAGCTCACCCAGACACCTTCTCTTTTGCGATCATGTGTTTTCTTGTAATTCTATATAGACATTTATAGGCATCTGAGTCCAGACTATTGACGTCAGTTAAGGCACCAAACTAAACAAGCGGCACGATCAAAACATAGTATAAAAGGGCCGATGGTAGAAGGCCTAAATGTAATAAAGTCCTAGATGGAATACCGCTTTTTTCTATGACCCGTCCGGCCACGCGCGCGCAACTTCCATGGAAAAACATAATAAAAGCTGATGTGTGTAGGACCGGGCGGGTTTACATGAGCTGTGTAGAAGTCCGGAATGTAATAACTGTCCTAAATGTAAAAAAGTCCAAAATTTAATAGCAGTTTGCTCTAAATGCAATCGTTCATCTCTGCCAGTGCATTATTGTTACAGTGGACATCCACATTGAGATTTTAAAATAGCATCTATTGCACCAAAGAATCTTCCGATCAGTATTCGTGACACATTGTGGGCTCGCACTGATATCACTCAGCTTCCTTCTTTGCTAGAGACTGGTCCGATCAAGCGATTACCGTCAGTTTGTCACTAAACACGAAGGCGCGCTATATAAGGAAGTCTTCCCTGGGAAGACCTAGACTCATTTATCACTCACCGTTGACGTGTGCGGGTCAAATTTAAATGCTGGTAGAAGAACAAAAGGAGCTAATGAGATATCTATCGTTTACTTCCACCAGCATGGTGGCATG